CCCCACATGTCGTTGATACTGACCAACATTCGACAACAACTCACCGTCAGAATCAGCCAACCGATGATTCTACTCAATCGGAGTATCAGCCTTAGAGTGAGCCACCTCAATGCCCAAGAAGTACCGTAGGGGACCAAGATACTTAATCTCAAAGTGACGGCCAAGATAGCTGTTAACCTCAGCAATTTCGGTAGTATCATCTCCGGTAAGAACAATATCATCGACATATACAATGAGAGCAACTGTCTTACCGCCTGAATGACGTAAAAACAAGGTATGATCAGCTGCACTTTGATAGAAACCAAACTTGAGCATGGCAGTGCCAAAGCGATCCGACCAAGCTCGAGGAGATTGGTTGAGGCCATACAGAGAACGATGAAGATGACAGACCATACCAAAATGAGCAGGAGAACGAATGCCCAGAGGAGAAACCATGTACACCTCCTACAAATCACCATTGAGAAAGGCATTTTTGACATCTAACTGAAATAGAGGCCAAGATCGAATCGCAGCAACGGAAAATAATACATGGATGGTATTCATCTTGGCAACAGGGGCAAAAGTCTCCTGATAATCTATGCCATAAGTCTGAGCATAACACTTGGCAACCAACTGGGCCTTGCAATTAGCAACTGACCCATCTGGATTATGCTTAACTGTAAACACCCAACGATAAGCCACAGCCTTTCGTCCAATAAGAAGTGGAACCATGTACCAAGTCTGATTTTTCTCAAGTGCTTGTAGTTCTTCTGTCATAGCATCACGCCATTGAGGTTGTGCTAGTGCATCTGCAACACTAGAAGGAAGAGGAACTGAGAAAACTCCGATAGGAGGGTAAGAGAGGACAATCAGAGACAAAATTAGAAATAGGGTATGTACAAGAACGTTTACCCTTTCGAAGAGCAATGGGGCGATCATCAAGTAAAACAATAGCTTGAGAAGGCAGAGCTGGTGCCGAAGGAACAGGACAGTCGATTGTGGGAGTAGAAGCTTGTACCTGTTGTCTCTGACTATAAACTTGTGGAAAAGAAACAATTCCCCTGCTGGAGGGGTATCACAAGGAGGAATCATAGAAAACAAAACAGGTAACGGTAGAGGAGTTGAACACGGAAGAAGGTGATCATCCATTATATTCAATGGAAACCAATCGCTTTGAGAACCAACTGAACTACTATATCATGGTGTATGCTCAAAGAAAGAAACATCTATGGATATAAACCGTCGACGATTGGGAGGATGGTAACACCTATAACTTTTTTGAGAGTGAAAATAGCCCAAAAATACACACTTGAAAGCCTTGGAGTCAAGCTTTGTACGAGTCTGCCCCAACTACTGCACAAAGCACACACACCCGAAGACTATGTGGCGATTCTTTCTCTCAGAATGACCATTTTGTTGAGGAGTTTTAACATTAGCCATCTGATGCTCAATCCCAAATTCTGGACATAACTGCTGTACCTCCCCATAAGTGTACTGCGTACCTTGGTCAGATTTGAATTTTTTAATAGTACGACCATATTGAGTCTGAACCATTATCAAAATTTTTTTAAAAATGGTGTACACCTCATTTTTTGTTTTCATAAGATAAACCCATGTAACATGACTATGATCATCAATGAACAACACGAAATATCAAAATCTAAGACTAGAAGAAACTGAGCAAAGACCCCACACATTTGAATGAACAAGATCAAAAGGTGCTAAAACAGATTTATTACTACTAGCAGGGTAATTGGAACGAACATGGTTAGCCATATGACATGTCTAACAGGATAAATCTAACACTGTCACGTTACAAAATAAGTAAGGAAATAAATGTATTAAATAAACGACATAAATATGTCCTAAACGCATATGCCAACGCAGAAGCTGGGCTTTATTAGATGAAATAAAATTAGAAAATGAAGCTGAATGTGCTTGAGGTGACAAACGAGCATCCAACAGGTATAACCGTCCACTGAGGCTAATCGTCTGTTTCGACACTAGAAGCCTGAAAAATACAATGAGAGGGAAAGAACGTTACACTACAATTTAATTGTTTGGTAACGCTACTAACAGAAATAAGATTTGTAGTCAACTGTGCAACATGAAGAGTATCTAACAAAGTTAATGAAGGAGTAATTGATATATGACCCTTCCCAGGAATGGAAGATGGAGAGCCATTCGCAAGGCGTACCTTGCAATGGCCAGAGTAGAAACTATATATATATATATTTTCTTAGTTGGTATTCGCACACACGTGCCTCCACTAAGGCTCGAACCCCTGACCTCTCTTTGAGAAGTAGGGGCCTGGTACCGCTAGGTCACTGGCCTGTTGGTCAGAGAAGATACTATAAGATTGGACGGATGAGGACATACCAGTTATATTATCTGAAGCATTAGAATCAATGATCTATGGTGTCGAAGATGTAGGTACGCTATGTGCAGACGCAATAGTACCTGAGTGGGCATAAGTGGAGTTTGGCTGAGATGATGTCTCCATTTGGTTGAAGAATTGTTTGAACTTGTCCAAATCAACTTGAGTTAAGGTAACTGTGGTAGAAGATGTAGAGGCAGAGTTGTCAGGAGTTGACAACGAGACTGGTTGTGTAACAGAATGTGCAGAGGATCGAGGCTGTTGTTTCTGTTGCGCTGGGCGTCCATGTAGAGCATAACAACGAGATTTGATGTGACCAATTTTTCCGCAATGGTCACACCGTCCACGTTGTCATCCTAGAGGAGGATCGGTGGTAGAGCTCTAAACTGATTGGGATGGTGCAGTTCCTGAAAGGTTGGGAACCCAAACTGCCGTAGCAGAATGATCAACAAAAGCAACACCTAATGGATGAGTCCGACAGCTCTCATCTGACAACACATAGGAGTATGCATCCTTAAGAGTAGGGAATGAAGATAAGCCCAATAAATGAACACGAGCATACTTAACCTCGTCGTTCAACCCGGCAAGAAATTGAAACACTCGATTCTTCTCCACAATTCCTGCATATAAAACTGCATCATCTGGATCCTTCAAAGAGTGGAAGGAATCATAATATGACATTTCTTCCCAAATAGCATGAAGCTTAGCGATGTAACTTGAAACTGTCACGTTATCCTGAGAAATACTGGTGATATCTCGCCCCAGCTGGAAAATCCATGCATTATTCTACCTCTGAGAATAAGTTCGTTGAACTGAATCCCAAATCTGCTTAGCAATCTTCATAAACATATAGCCAACAACTATGTTTGGTTGCATCAAATTGACTAGCCAAGACATAACCATAGTCAAACCACTGTGGATATGCCTTCTCTGACTCAGCTGACTCTTTCTCAGAACCAGTAATATAGTCAATCTTGCCTTTGCCACCAATGAACATCTTGGCAGACTGTACCCAAATCAAATAGTTGGAACCATCCAACTTCACTGTGGTGGTTTGAAGTCTTGGATTTTCTGATGAGTTGGTGGGAAAAATAGCACCACCACGCACAGAACTTGAGCCAATAGAATTAACAGTCGAGGTCCCGAGGACCTTGAATTTGTCATAATCTGTCACACGACAATTAAAAAACTTCAAAAACACCTCAAATTTTGTTAATAAATCAAAGGGTCTCCTCAGACCATAAACAATAACAATGTCTCCTCAGACCATTCCCGAAAAATCCAAATACATACTTTTTTTAAGGAGCGATGCCCGCTTACATATAGCTAGACAACCTCCTTAGTATCCGGAACCTCTTTGTAGGCTAATTTTATTTTATTTTTTTACCCAAGCCCTTTTAGGTGTTGGAGACCAACTATCCCAATTTACCCAACCCTAGAAGAGTAAAAAAGAAATTGTAAAACTTAAAAATCCCTGTTTTCAATCACAAAACGGCAACACAAAAAAACATGTGTAGGCAACGTCACACAGTGTCACAAACAGCGGTGGCTGTTGCACAAGTAGCAAGCTGCTGAAAGGTGCGGAAAGGTGTTGGCTCTGATAGTAGAAATATAAAAAGAAAAAGGAGAGAATTGTGTAAAGGCTTGAATGAGATTAATAATACGTAAAGGCTTGAATGAGATAAATTACTCATTCATAGTTCTAGTATTTATAGATAAAATGAGCACATGCTGTAAAGCATATTTTCTACGGCATATTTTATTGCATAATCAAATCTCTGCTAATATGATAAATCATTTCATAAATCGTGGTTATTGTATATACTAACAGAATGTTTTAACCCTAAATTTGATTCATTATGAGATGATCAGCCTCAAATCGACTTACTGACTTATTATGGCAAACGAAAACTACCAAAACTAAAACTAAACACAACTTTAAAACCTAGTGCGTGTACCTTAAAATGTATTTAGTTAAATGTAATTCAATTTGTGTACTGGTAGGGTTTTGCCATATGTGATGGTTTGGGGAGGATTTTGGTGGATGCTCTCCAGATTGTCCACCTCAAATATATCCTTTTGTTCCGTGAACTAGTAGAAAGACACCTTCTTCCTTGATATGAGATATGGTACCACATGATAAATTTCAACCGGCTCATATTCGAGAAAATCCAATGAAGCCTGTAGACTATCATTGATGTAGTTGTGGACCCAGTAAAAGATTTCCTAAAACATTGGGAACACCCGAAAAAGGAAAGAATTGGAGGAAGGGCAAGGAGAACCATAATTTTTTTAGCAAGTTTTGACTTGCTTCTCATTTTCAGCAACTTTCTTATTTTGGTTTTAATTTATGTTTGATAGTTAGCTAATCTATATGCCTAAGAAGGAACTCTATATAGAGCCTTGTTGTAATTGCTAGGGTTTTGATGATTAGTTGAAGAGATAATTTTTACAGCAACTACAGTTTGCTGCTCAATTCTCCTTTCTCTTTCATGGTTCCTTTGTTTTGTTTAAATATTGTTGTGATGACGATTTGATTGTCTCCTCTTGGTAAGGCGGCATCAATCGTGCTTGATGTTGGCTGGGGTAATATTTGAAACACATCCTTGTGAACAGTGTAATTGAATTTGAACATTTTTACCAGGTTGAAACTACAGACTCTGATATTTGCAACAAAGATGGGGCATCCTTGGAGTCCAAACCTCTTGGTCTGAAATGGGCCCACCCTATTTCATCGCCTGAGACTGGCTGTGTCCTCGTTGCCACTGAAAAGCTTGATGGGGTTCGCACCTTTGAAAGAACCGTGGTTCTCCTCCTGAGATCTGGAACTAGACACCCACAGGAGGGGCCATTTGGAGTGGTTATAAACCGTCCACTTCACAAAAAAATTAGACACATGAAACCCACTAATCTTCATCTGGCAACCACTTTCCCTGACTGTTCTTTGCATTTTGGTGGGCCCCTTGAGGCAAGTATGTTCTTGTTGAAGACTGGGGAACATTCAAAACTTCCTGGGTTTGAAGAGGTGATTCCTGGCCTGTCTTTTGGTGCTCGGAATAGTTTGGATGAAGCTGCTGGGCTGGTGAAGAAAGGGCTGCTTAAGCCGCACGATTTCAGATTCTTTGTTGGATATGCGGGGTGGCAGCTGGATCAGTTGAGAGATGAGATTGAATCGGATTATTGGTATGTTGCTGCATGCAGTGCAGATTTGATATTGGGAAGTTCATCAGATTCTTCATCAGAGGGCTTGTGGGAAGAGATTTTGCAGCTGATGGGTGGTCACTATTCGGAGTTGAGCCGGAAACCAAAGCAAGATATGTAGTCATTTATGAGCTTAGAAACGCCCAAAGAACGAAAAAAATTGAGCTGGAAATCAATGCAAGAAAACTCATCGCAGTTTTATGTTAATTCAAATGTACAGAATACTGGCGCTAATTTTTAGTCAGTCGATCTTGTTCCTTTTTGTAGAAAGTCGGTATTTTAGTTATTGTAAGTACTTGTACACCAATTTCCGTTTGAAGAAAATATTACATATCCCTCAGTCCATTCTTCGCATTTAACATGTCTCGTGATTTATTTCAGAGATAGCTATCTATGACAGAAAAACTGAAACTGAAACAAAAAAATATATATATAGTTGCAGCAGAAAGCTGAGTGCTTTAGCAGTTGATATATTATGCTTAACAGTCCGATTTCAACAGCGACTTCTTCATGAGAGGAAAAATTAGTTTATTATTATTATTATTATTTTTCTTCATTGTAGTCTCGGTGATTTATATCTTATCTATAATATTTGGACAAGTTGTAACTATGTCGTCTCTGTGCTTAACAGTCCGATATCAACGGCCACTTCTTCATGAGAGGAAAAATAAGTCTATTATTATTATTATTATTGTCCTTCATTGCCATCTCTTGATTTATATATATCTAAAATATTTGGACAAGTTGTAACTATTTAGCATTTGTGACATATCCAAGTAAAATGTATAGGGTATTACTCTCTGTAAAATATTCTTCTTAATACATTAATATCTTGTACACGTATATATAGGAAAGGGAAAACTATACAAGAAAAAGAATAAAAAATGTTCCTACAAATCTGTTCCCAATTTAAAGTAATCAAATTATCCTATTTTACTGTAATCAAAGTGTCCTACAAACTTGTTCTAATTTATAATAATCAGAAATCAATCAAATTTGTAAAATCAAGGGGAAAAATATATTTTCCAATACTCCTCATCAAGCTGGGGCAGAGTGTCTTGAATGCCCAACTTGTTAAGTGTCAAATTGAAAGTCGTTTTTGACACTCCCTTTGTTAAAAAATTTGTAAGCTGATGTTTTTGTTTTTACAAACGGAGTGCAAATTAATCCACCTATCTTCTCCTTAATAAAGTGTCTATCCACTTCAACATGTTTAGTACGATCATGCTAAATTGAATTGTAAACAATGCTAATTGCAACTTTGTTATCACAGAAAAGCTTTATTGGATCCCTCGAACTAAAGCTCAACTCCTTTAACAAAGCCTTCAACCACAACATCCCGCATATTCTATGAGCCATGGCTCTAAATTCTGCTTTAGCACTTGAAATGGCCACAACAGATTGTTTCTTACTACACCACGTGGCAAGATTCCCTACCACAAAGGTGTAGTATCTTGAAGTTGATCTTCTATCTATTACACATCCTGCCCAATCAACATCTTTATATCCTTCAACTTCGAGAAGGCCATGGTTGGAGAATAGCAGATGCTGTGTTCCAAAACTTGATATTTTTTATCAATTAAAATCACTCGCAATAGCACAAGTCTTTGTAGGATACGGCTACGTAAAGGGTGCCGAACCACGAAGATTGCGAAGTTTATGGTTGTTAAATTTTCAAGATTACTTCCACTTTAATTCGAGATTGAATGATTGATTATTGTTTGTTTAACTAAAGCAATTGAAATTGATTACTAAAACGAAAATTGAAAGCGATTAAATGAACCAAATAGAGAGATGGCTAGGGAATTGACTTCACCATCCCCTCATAACCATGGTTAATCGTGTTTATCATGGAGAAAAATACATTATGTATAGCAATGATTCGTGTGGCATTACGCTCACAATGGAATCGACAAGAAGATAAATACACACACAATTCAAGAACTAAGAATAGTTCATCTTCGGTTGGCACGAATCGTCTACCTAACTATACTAAACTATGATGTAGCACGTCTCGTCTTTTCTAGGTATGATGTATCAAAGTTCTTGCATTGTATGTTATGAAGAAAAATGTATAACTTGTCATTCTCATTGTCACTATGAAAATGAATATGGTTCAATCAAAACGAAAGTTTTCTAAGACAAGAAAAGGGTTCATCCTGAAAGATTATACACATTAAAATCTATTACAAGATATATAACACTTGTAATCATCAAAGTTATACAATATGCTATACAAATACATATTTTTCCCTAAAATACAAACAAAATCAAATCATAATTACTTACAGATGGCAACATCAACTCCCTAGGAAGAGGTTTAGTTGCTCATGGTTAAGGTGGAGGCCTCCTTGGTATTAGGAACCATCATCTCCATGTTAGACACCATGAATGCTCAGTTAGCTTCAAGAAGCAAGCTTTCTCTGTATAGAACTCTCTATTTCTCTCTTTATAAATGAAGATAATGTCTCTCCTCCAAGATGCCCTTCATATATATCATTGTGTGGTAAAAAAGGGGCAATTTCGCGCCCCAAGATTTGTGGATGAGATCTAAAAAAAGGGGAAAAGTAAAGTGATTTTCAACTACTCTTGACAAGAAAACATAAATTTGGACGACTGGTCAGAACTTTGGGTGACCAGTTGCAGAGTGTCAAGGTAGGCTGGCGTGCGCGTTATGGCTTCTTCTGCAGTGATGGGTGACCGGTCGTAGACGGGCGACGATCGGTCGCAGAAATCACAACTCTTTATTTGAGATTGCAATTTCGAATTGTAATTTGATTTCAACATTTAGCTTGGACGACCGGTAGCAAAATTTGTGCTGTAGTTAGGTGACCGATCATCTCTTGAAGGTTGGGCCAAATTGCTCTTGGGCTTAAAATGCTTGGCCTAATTATCTTTATCAACTAGTCCTAGAATTGACCTTCTAATTGGTCCAAGTACTTGAAGTCTTTATCACGAACTTTTTTGGTTGTCAGCATTGTTTGTTTGTCAGCATTGTTTGTAGGCCCAAAATTCCCGAATTTACTTGATTTTGAGGATAGTTACCTGAAAATGGCAAAACTATGAAAACGAAAGAAAATCATAAAATAAAAACAACTAAATATTTGTAACGACCCGAACTCGTAGGTCCGAATAGCTATCCGGGTCTTGATCTGATCTGGAGTCATCCAAGGTTAAAATGGTCATTTGTATTACTATAATATAATTGTTACATCTTACTGGGTCCCATAGTACATATCAGTGTCATTTAAAGAGTAAAAATGGGGCAAAATGGGAATAAAACAACATGGGTGCAGCTATAGGTATCGGTTGACATATGGACATCTACATGTTGACCGAAATGGGACTTTCGGTTGACCTGTGGCTCTCAAACATCGATTGGTTTGGGTTTCTACAGAGAAATTGTTTACTGTCTAACTTTTTTATATCGGTAGAAGCTAGGCATCAACCGAAAGTTCCCAGACTTGGGTTCTTGGTCCTGTTTGCGTGCCTTAGGCACTTAGCACTCTATTTGGTCCATTTGTGACCTTGGATATGATTCAAAAACCTACCCAAAACTTATGTAAGGTGACCAAAATGAAATATAAGCATTCAGTAAGTGAAAAGACATAAACTCCCCTAGATATGTGTTGATTCATGTTTGATCAAGTGTTTTGCACTTTCAATGCCAAGAGTATTCTACAGTCTCAGGTTTAGTGGGCTCCCAAGTGTAATTACAGGTTCATTACTCATGGTTCAGCATAGGGTAATGAAGCTTCGGTAAAGCTTATGGTTCAACACTTACTGAGTAGGTTCAGCACGTAAAGGTTCAGCACTTACATGGTTCAGCACATACATGATTCAACAATTACATGGTTCAGCACTTACAAGGTTCAGCACTTATAGGGTTCAGCACTTACAGGGTTCAGCACGTACATTATTCAGCACATACATGGTTCAGCACTTACAGGGTTCAGCATTTACATGGTTCAACACATACAGGGTTCGGTACGTACATAGTTCAGCACTTACAGGGTAATGAAGCTCATAGTCAGCACAAACAAAGTTCTGCCAATGGTCCGAGGGTATCTTAGCCAATCCAAATTATTGAGCCCTTGTATTCATACTCGAAGCTATCATTTTATTACATTCAATAAGGGGCATTTGGGGAAGGCTTGTGTGCAAAGTGTGCTGTGAATGTGCTTAGAATATACCTGTGACATGTGGCTATGGACCATGAAAATATTGTCCTCCAATGATGTTGCAGAACTTAGAGGCTAAGCAAAGATAAAAGTCATTGTGGTCTCACCTGTATGAACTAATTTTATTGATGCACAAGGTGTCATTATATGGTAAGAATAATGACAAAATAGCTGAGGTGGCAGGCCAGCATTGGTGCATTGTTCTAAAAAATATCTGAATCATTCTTGTCAATGATTGGTAGAAGGTGATAGGAGTATTGGAGCTACTGTAATAGGGTTGCTATGTGTGTATTAATATATATATGCTGTTATAAGGCCTTTTAGGGTGTGCCTCCAAGAGGAAAAAAAAAAGTAAGGCTGCAGTAACTGAGAGAGAGTCCTATTCGAGAGCTGAAAATGAATAACAATTTCAGAGATATTGTATGATGGTTGAGCTTCAATGAATCTCTGAAATTTGCCTAAAGGAAGCATAGTTGCAGTGAAGATGGTTGAGGCTGTCAAGTGTTGATTTTCAGGTAAAAGAGAGGCCGAGGTGATTTAAATTCTACTGTGGACACTTCTAAAGGTTGAGCAAGGTCTAAGCATGCATAACTTAGTGATATACATCTGCTGAAGGTGCTAAGGACTTCATATAGCAGCTGGTACAATCTTCCATATCTCAAACTCAAGTTTTGGCTAGTATTTTGGTTTAAGCTTCTGGAACTGAGTATATATTGTTATAATCTTGCTATGCTATGATTTTTAAACATCTAAGCATGATTAAAATGTTTTTTTGAGGCTGTACATGTTGAGTTTTGAACTGAGGAGTGACCTGCACTAGTTTTGTATCTTGAACCACACTTGCTTCAGCTTGTAGTAGTTTTGCAAGGCTGGTTTGGATGTTGAAAATTGGATACATTGCTGTGACTACTGTTTTATCCATTTGAGCATATTCATATAGTTAAAATACACTTGAGAGAGCTAAAATCCATAAGTTGGTAGTGTAAAAATACCAGATTTGCCTTTATAACATTGATGCAGCAGAAACTGTTTTCTGAAGCCTTATTTGAACTGAAATGTGCTATTTACTTACTATACCCTGAGAAGTAGTGATGTGAGCAAGTGTAGTATATTGAAATACAATTGAGGGAACTTGAAACAAAAAGGTTCAGTCTCGGAATTACATATTTACCC